ATGCCGGCAACTGCTTGCTTATATTTTATATCTGTTCGTTCACCTTTGCGCTCTTTTGTAGATGGTTCTGCACAAAGACGGGACGGCCCCGCTATTAGTTATCATTCAAGGCCTACTTTTTTGCACCTGCCTGTCACTTGGACGATAACTGGAAGTTCGTCAGCTTCTACTCCTTTATACTAATGTATTTACATGTTAGAATCACATGACTAACATATAACGCATGCAATTTCGTTGTCCAGTTAGCGTGTTGTTGCCAAAAGGTAAATAACAAGTTGATGCACTTATACTTAATTTCGCATTGGTTCAATTTTGGAGACAGAGTAGAAAGCGATAAATGTCTATCTGCAAAACAAGTTTCCGGTTCCCCACTGACATCGACTTTTCGAACACCATTGTTGCACATTTCATATCTAAACCAGTCATGTAATAAACTTTCAGACAGTAGAACCATGGTTAAGAATAACAACTCGTACCGTGAAACCGAAATGCCAACGTATACAATTGCATGCAAGATATGATGTCACTGTGCTCACTGAAAGGAGGGCGAGAAAGTCAACAGGAACAAAACACAAAAGCAAAAGAGCGGTGTACGACGGATGATAGCTGAACGCACAGCATCACGGAACAAAATCCCCAACATCTGTCTTTCCAAGGTTTCAGCACAGAGAGCCTTGCCATTTCACCGTTCTTCGTCAGCTACTATGTTTTCTTTCACGCAGTATCACTGGCAATAGAGTTACACTTTCTTCACGGTTGAAGTTCAGCATCATTCACGGTTTTCAACCGTCAGTCAGCTGATTCTCAAAGTCCCTTCCTCAATCGTTACACCATTCCATGGTCTATTACAGATGTCACAAAGGCGACCTCACAAATAATTTTTCTGGAGTTGAATTGTCATCACACGTTCACAGCTCTTTTCCACCCGGTAACATCAACGCAAATTCCTGTACGAAGTACCAACGCGAATATTTTAATGCATAGATATTAGATACGTTTCTCAAAAAAGATTTCATTTTGTTTTTTTACTACTGTTAAACTAACCAACATGACGTTGAATTTGCATGGCAATGTTACGCTCCTACTTTGCTACTAGAAGCTATTTAAGAAGGCAATATCCGTAGTGCGTGACAGCAAAGCCGCACCAGGTCAACAACTAAAATAATGCTACTGGTTTTCTGTAGGCTGAACTGAGAGTTCCAGCAGGACAAACTGCAGTTCCCTCTCCTTCGAAACACTGTAAGATGTTCTCAGAACGATCTTAACTTTGAGTGTTGCAATGCTTACATGAAACGTAAGACGGTCTTTTAACAGGAAATTTGCAATAGAGTTCAATAGAATGAAGCTCAACAGAATTCATTAATTCGACAGGGATTAGATTATCCATAACAAAAAGTTCGTTTCATAAACTTTAACCTCCCAAAAGCAATAGGTGCTGTCAAAAGTTTTAAAAGGAACATAGGCACTGGTTTCCGACTAAAGCTGACAAATAGTTTATTTAAACAGGATTTACGAAATAGGCAACCATCAAATTGCAAAATGATCTTGCACCTCAAGGATGTGTGACAGCTATGGGTAGGATCAAACTTGTTGTAATCGTCCTCCCGTTTGTCGGATGACAAACTCTGCTTTGGTACTAAGGCGCAGCCGCCTCTCATTGATGCATTTTGAATGTTATTGGTATTAGAGCAATGCTGCAAGAGTATAACGACGATTTTGATGAGACTCACGCAGGTTGAAACAAAACAATCCAACACCAGTGCCTAGGTTTCCTTTAAAGCATTTTTCGAAGATCACCTATTTGAAAAATATTCCGGCAGTTTAAAAAATAACTTTATCATATACTCTAACCATTTTCTTCAACAACGTATATATCTTATTTCTGAAACACGGGCTGCAAATATTTTACCGCTTTTAAGAAATTTATTCTTGGCCAAAATCATGTAGCAAAACATTGAAATATGCCAGGAAGTATTTCAACATTTAGGTGAGAAAATTGTTCACTTTCGCCATCAACCGAGAGTTCTTCTTTGGGATCCTAAAAGGTGCGCAAAATGAATACAACTGACTGTAAAAATATTTTTACCTCGGTTTCTAGAGCAATCGAGAGTTCCCGGCATTGAAACTTAGCCTGGGTGCTAAACAAGTCTGAAGGAAGAAAAGGCAGACCGCTGTCGTAGCGTTCCCAGCCCTCAAAAGCCCAACCAAGTCGAAAATCGTCGGAAGGACCAAGGTAGACGTTGGCAACAGCATGTTTCTAAAAAGAGCTCACAATTTAAACTGAAATTGACGCGACTGCAACGAATGATCCGACAAGAGGCGGAAAAATGTAAAAGATTATTTTGAAAACAGAATACTTTAATTACTGGCTTAAGTTACAGAAAAAATACATGAATGCATGCTGCATAACAAGTCCACCTTAGTGAAAAATTCCAATCAAAATTTTTGTTTGTATCCAAGTACATTCATCCCGAAAATTTGCCTGAAATTTTTAGTAATTATTCAACGTATCTAATGGGTTTTGATAGCAAGGCTGAAAACTGCAGAAAAGTTAGTGCAATCTTATCCTAGAGAAGACTTTGAGATGTAGATCAAAATACCGATAACGGCTTATCATTATGACAATCTGTTATAAACATTTTATACTGCGTAATATTAAATAAGCCAGGGTTTGCTATAACCAAAACACTATTATTTCATGAAAGATAAAGAAAGACATCTCAGAAACCTCGAAACCTGTGTTACTTTTTCACCAAAAAATAATAATCGTAGTCACGTCTTTTCTATGCACTAATAAATTATCGTGAACAAGGAACACCGTTGTGGATTCGGAAAGTTCACTTATTAAATATATTTGTCCAGGCTTATAACAGTTTTTCAATTATGTATTATCATTAAAATATTGTCATTGTGTTTTCTGAATACCATTTCATAAAAAACGGAAAATTTGAGGAAGAGATCGACCAGCGAATTGGTGTAGCCAGTGGCGTTCTGCGTGAACTAGCTCGACCCATTGTGACTAAGGCAGAGCTCAGTCTGAAAACTAAGCTCTCGATATTCAAGTCAATTTTTATCCCCATACTTACCTACGGTCATGAATCGTGGACCATCACTGAAAAACTTCGAACCCGTGTATAAGCTGCTGAAACGGGTTTACTTAGACGAGTCGCTGGCCTTACGCGTCTCGACATGGTCCGGAATAATGACATCCGGAAGAGCCTTGGAGTACAGCCTTTGCTTCTCCAGATTGAGAAGTCACAGCTGCGATGGCTT